AGCCATTGTTGTTTGGCGGGCCCGGGCTGGGGATTCGAACCCGCCACCTTAGGTGTATGTGGCTGGCGCCTTAGCTGCTTGAGCCACAGGCGCCGAGCCGCCATCAAAATATTAAATGGAAAATTCCAGAAATAATTTGTTAGTTTTGAATTGTATGCTGTTCTGAGTAGCATGATGAGCTCTCACACTGTCTAGCTTAATCTTGCTGTGACATGAATCATTTCTTTGGCATATCCATGCTGTATGTGAAACCTACCCATTAGTTACTTGGTAGCTATCTCAGTAACCAGATGGAGAAAGTACAGTATACGTATACTATATAGGGTATACTATCCACAGTTTCAGGTCTTGAAATTTATCCTCTGCAGATAAAGGGGGGACTAGATCATCATTTTTGTGTCAGTTCTTCAAATCCCAACTGTAGGACTTGGAATTTATCCCCTGCAGATAAAGGGGGACTAGATCTTCATTTTTGTGTCAGTTCTTCAAATCCCAATTCACGTGTGACATGAAGAGAGCTAAAGAGCACCTGCACACACAATGGGTTGTATTACAGGAAAAGAACCCTGAGCTTAGGGAATCAAATCTATAATATTAGTATAGCAAGTATGCTTTCTTGTTACTCTGGACGGAGACCCTATCTCTTATCTTCAAGGTTGTTTGCTTTGCAGACATCCTTGGAAAGATAGTTTTTTTTACAAAGGACAGTTAGTTCCTCTTGCAGGACATGCAGAAATGCAAGAAACCTATGGAGTATTTATTATCTCCCAATATTAATTATTTGTACTTTATTGTGTATGTAATACTATATAATATGTGTTTATTTTTTCAACATATTTGAATTTTAGGTTTTCTTAATTATGTGCTTGGTACCTAATGCTAACATATTTATGTTATTTAATATATTTGTGTTGTTATTTGTGTTTATTTTTACTTATAGAAAGTTTTATATTATAAATATGTTTGTCTGTTTACATTTATATTGTTTATTAATGTTTTTATATATGCTGGTATTTGTATTTTATGATCCTGTTATTCAGGGCTAGTTGGAGTGGGGCCTGGATGGGACTTAAGGCCATTTCCAGGTTGCCTTCTATATCCCATAGTCCAAGTTGTATGGCTGGTATGGTACTGGCTTCACCTGTCCCTCTGGGTGCTAACTCATCCTGGTCCATCCCCAGCCCCACAGGAGACAGGATCCGAAGCAAAGTTGAGCTGACCCGATACCTGGGCCCTGAATGTGACCTCACCCTTTTTGACTTCAAACAAGGCATCTTGTGCTATCCAGCCCCCAAGGTACTTCATAGTGTGGGGTCCTCAGTCAAGGGTGGCTGTGCTACCTAACATGTACCCATTGACCCACATTCTTCCTGCCTTCTTATCTTCAGACACATTCATTGGCCGTCCCCAGCAAAAAGCAAAAGAAACCTTCAAAATCAGCCAAGACAAAGAAACGCCAGGTTGGACCCCCAAAGGATGAGGTCAGGAAGGAGGCCAGGAAGGAGGCTAGGAAGGAGGCTAGGAAGGAGGCCAGGAAGGAGGCTAGGAAGGAGGCCAGGAAGGAGGCCCCACAGGATGAGACCAAGGCTGATGCTAACACAGCCCCAGCTTCAGTTCCTGCGCCTGGGTGAGTGTTGGCTTAAGGTGGGCCAAATGGGTGAGGGTTGTAAATGGGAGTGTTCTCACGGCCCCACACCTGTCTTTCCCATCCCAGATGCTGTGAAAACTGTGGAATCAGCTTCTCAGGGGATGGTACTGGAAGGCGGCGACTCAAGACATTGTGCAAGGACTGCCGAGGTGAATCAGGAGAGAGGCTGCTGGCATAGTTGGAAGTTGGATTTTGGAAATACTGGACATGGGTAGAGGCTGAATGGTTGGCAGTCAGGCCAGAGGCAGTGGGTAATGTCAGTTGTCTCTTGCTTTCTTTTCACTTTGCTCTTTCCTTCTCCCTTTGTGCCAGCGCAGAGAATTGCCTTCAACCGGGAACAGAGGATGTTTAAGGTAAGCATAAGCTGCTGCTTCCTCACAACTCTGCAGTGGGAGTAAGTCTTGTTGGGACTAGAGGGCATCTGAAGAAATGGGGATGGGTCCATAGGGTATAAGAATCATTTTACAGGGTGGCGCCTGTGGCTCAGTGAGTAGGGCGCTGGCCCCATATACCGGAGGTGGTGGGTTCAAACCCAGCCCGGGCCAAAAAAAAAAAAAAAGAATCATTTTACAGAGAGCTAGCCATGGATTGGCAAACACAGTAATGGTAATTATTGGGGTGCCAGTAGACACAATGTTGAAATTAACGGGACCAGGAGACATATTTATGACCAGTAGACAGACAACCTTATGGATAGCATCTAGCGAGTAATTATTAGATAACAGTGATGAGGCTAATGAAGAGCTAGAAGACATGGTAATGTAGCTAATGTAGGGTCAATAGACGTGGGCAAAACGGCACTTCTGAAGTCTGTAACCTTGTCTCCCCCATTCTTGGCAGCGTGTAGGCTGTGGGGAGTGTGCAGCATGCCAGGTAACTGAAGATTGTGGGGCCTGCTCCACCTGCCTCCTACAGCTGCCCCATGATGTGGCCTCAGGGCTATTCTGCAAGTGTGAGCGGAGACGCTGTCTCCGAATTGTGGAAAGGGTGAGTCAGGCAGGTGGGGAGGGCCCAAGGCTCACCCCAGACCCAGGTCCTCAAGGCCTTGGCCCCATGCATCACGCCTCTGGCCCTCCCCACACACGCACACAGAGCCGAGGGTGTGGAGTATGCCGGGGCTGTCAGACCCAAGAGGACTGTGGCCATTGCCGCATCTGCCTTCGTCCTCCCCGCCCTGGTCTCAGGCGTCAGTGGAAGTGTGTCCAGCGACGCTGCCTACGGGTAAGTCTGGCTAGACGGGGAAGAGCTCATTTTACTGTTGTCGCTGCCACTGCTTCCTCCCAACTCAGCCTTGCCCACCTCATGTCTTTCTTTTCTCTCTCACCCCATGCTCACTTCCCTGGCTTCACCCACCTGTCCCTATCTGCCAGCAGCTTGCTGACCGCCTTCGTCGCCGCCATCAACGATGTCAGCGACGCCCTCCCTTGGCTGTGGCTCCCCCCGCTGTGAGTTCCCTGCTTCATCTTCAAACCTTCCTGTCCCATGCATGCTTCCTGTAATCATGGTGTGACCTGTCTCTCTACCTGGTGCCACCAAACCCAAACCATCCTTTCTATTCTCTCCTAGGGTAAACGTGGCCGCCACAGGGGGAGCTGTGACTCCAAGATGGCTGCCCGGCGGCGTTCCCGAGCCCAGCCACTGCCTCCACCTCCCCCATTACATCCCACAGAGGCCACAGAGCTGGTGAGGCCCCAGTGGGTGAGGAAAGGCACACCCCTAACCTTACCAAGTACCTGCCCTGACCCCACCTTATTTGCCTCTACAGCCCAAAGCCCTGGCCCCCTCGCCACCTGCCGAGCTCATCTATTACTGTGTAGAGGAGGACGATCTAGTGAGTGGCCCTGCCCTGCCTGGATAAGGTTAACTCCAAAGAAACAGTTGGTGTGATGGGCCTACAGGGGAACAGCAAAGCACAGTGATGGGTCTTAGATTGAGATGAACAGATGATGGGGAAGGACTAACATGGGCTCAGCAGGTTCCATGACAGTGCCATGTCATTTGCATCAACATTCTGGTGGCTAATGCAGTACTGTCAGATACAGTGCTGGGCCAATAGAAGAGCGGCAGGCACAGTGACTAGGTGTCATGCAGGATGAACAGAGAGAGCTGGCACAGTGCTGGGAGCTAGAAATGAGGTCAGAGACATTTTCTTGGTAGGTAATGGAGTACTAGCACAGGGGTCCTCAAACTTTTTAAACAGGGGGCCAGTTCACTGTCCCTCAGACCATTGGAGGGCCAGACTGCGGGCCCCGGCATGAGTCGGCTGCTAAGCAGGATAGGCAGTGGCGGCAAAAACACCCAGCGGGCCGGATAAATGTCCTAGGCGAGCTGCACGTGACCCACAGGCTGTAGTAGACCAGCTGGCATAGTGACTAGTATGGAGGCAAGAGGCTAAGAATAGTATCCAGGTAGCACCCTCTGATGGGACTAGAGGAGCGCCAGGACTGGCACTGTAATAACTATTGAGGATAGCCTCTCCTAGTCCTAGTGACAGCACCACCAATTCCCCCCACCCCAGCAGCCCTACACGAACCGCCGGCAGAACCGCAAGTGCGGGGCCTGTGCAGCCTGCCTACGGTGGATGGACTGTGGCCGCTGCGACTTCTGCTGCGACAAGCCCAAATTCGGGGGCAGCAACCAGAAGCGCCAGAAGTGTCGTTGGCGCCAATGCCTGCAGTTTGCCATGGTGGGTGGGGCAGGAAGGGTCAAGTGGATGGGGTAGGTGGGGCCAGATGCCCCAGTATTTGGGAGTGGTGGGCAGACCTGGTAGGTGGATGGGTGGGGCAGTGGCTTTGGTTGAGGATTAGCAAACATTGTGCTGGGGTAAATGAGTCTAGGTGGCACTGGCATTGCTGATGGGAGACTAGCAGTCTCAATGACAAAGGGTTCATGTATAAGCAGATTCTGTGCTGGAACTAATGGAAGATCAGCAGGTATGTTGAACAGGGCAGGGTAGGTATAATCAGTAATGGTACCAGGCAGCCAAAGCACCCCATCTTTTCTCACAGAAGCGGCTGCTGCCAAGTGTCTGGTCAGAGTCAGATGATGGGGCAGGATCGCCCCCACCTTGCCGTCGTCGAAAGAGGCCCAGCTCTGCCCGACGATCCCATCTGGGCCCCACTCTGAAGCACAGCTTGGCTACATGCACAGGCAGACCAGGCCATGCTCATTCTCCAATGAAGCAGGAAATAGGTGGTGGCTTTGTGTTGCCTCCGCCTGGCACTGACCTTGTGTTTTTACGGGAGGGTGCAAGCAGTCCCGTGCAAGTGCCAGGCCCAGCTACGGCTTCCACAGAGGCCTTGTTGCAGGTGAGGGCCCCATCTTACCCTGACCATCCTAGCTCTAGCCAGCCTCATGCCAAGGAGCTGAAATCAGGTCTGCTGCAATCCTTCCTCACACAGGAGGCCCAGTGCTCTGGCCTGAGTTGGGTTGTAGCTTTACCCCAGGTGAAGCAAGAGAAGCCAGATGCCCAGGAAGAGTGGACGCCAGGCACAGCTGTCCTGACTTCTCCCATATTGGTGTCTGGCTGCCCCAGCAAGGTAGGGGCAATGATGGATGTTCCATAAGCAGAGTGATGGTGAGCAGAGTGATAGATGCATGCTTGCAGCCTTTCTGCAGAATTATTCTAACAGGCACTCCTGCCCCCCAGCAATAGCTTTGCCTGCTTTGCTGCCCAGGTAACAAAAATATAGATCAGTGAGGAATGGGAAAGGTTTGTAGGCAGATGGCATTTCTGTGCTAAACCGTAGTGGGAGTGACATTTGTCAGCACAGTGATGGGTTAACTGATGGAGACTTTCTTCAGACTTACCCTTCTAACTGCTGCCTGTTCCCCACTTCTTCCAGGCAGTAGACCCGGGCCTGCCATCTGTGAAGCAAGAGCCACCTGACCCCGATGAGGATAAGGCAGAGGAGAACAAGGATGACTCTGCCTCCAAATCAGCCCCAGAGGAGGAGGAGGAGGAGGAGGAGGAGGCAGGAGGGGCTGGCACACCCGTGGTCAGTGCTGGGAATGCCCCATCCTCTCCTGACCCTGCCTTAGCCCCACCAAGCATATTGACCCATGATGTTAATTTTTCCCTAGATCACGGAGATTTTCAGCCTGGGTGGAACTCGCTTCCGGGACACAGCAATCTGGTTGCCAAGGTGTGCCCCACACAGTGAGGGGTGGGGATGGCGTAGGTGCCAGTCAGATGTGGGCCCTGAGTTTTGAAAATACAGCTAGCAGTTTGGTGTGGTACAGTGGGAGGTTAAGGTTCCATACCCACTGTGCTGACCATAGTCCATGAGGGATGTGTGTAGGACCCTAGAAATTCCTCTTGAGACCCAGCCTAATAGCATTCCAGGTTAGGGCTCTCCTTTGGGGGAGGGAGGATAATTAGACCCCCTATGATGAAATTTGAATGAAAAAGAAAGATACGGAGGGTCTGGTCCCCATCTCTCTATAGTAAATCCTATAGGGGTTATCCTTGATAGATAAATTCTTATCATCATTTGGGGTCTTGAAGGCTTTTGGAGTCTCTTAAGTGGCCACTAGGTAGGTTATTCCCTGTCATTGGGGAGTGTATGTCACATAAATGGTTTTGGTCTTGCCTGTTGGTGGGGTGGGCAGGAGATCTGAGTCCTGAGCTGAGTCCACATGCAGTTGTGTGCTCTCGGAGGCTCATTCTGCACTTCCTGGAGCAGCCTCCATGGAAGGGCTTGGGCTGGGTATCTTGAGCCTGTTGAAGTTATTAACTATTTCAGCTGCTGCACAGAACTGTCCCTGTAGGCCTGGCATAGGATGAAGGGTAGGTGCCTGTAAGGACTGGGATGGTGGGAGGAGGACAGGGGAATGCAGCCTCCTGAAGAATGTTGACAGGCCCTACACATATGTTCACTGGAAGCAAACTGTTGGCCTAAGCACTGGGAGTCCTTTGCTCTTAAAAGCCAATTCTAACAGGCCAGAAATCCCTCTCTCTGTACTTGGGTGATTACAGAGGTACTGACTGAGGTCTTGCTAGGTAGACAGCAGCATGAGTATCCCTGGAAGGTTTATCCTTCAAGAGATACAGATCCCTACCCTCAGGGAGCTTATAATGTAACTGTGAACATGGTCCATGTTAACAGAGAAGGTGTTGTGCTATCTGTAATGATAGTTTCTAAGAAACCAAAAAGAGATATAGGATAATTAAGGGGAAATGGGATAACCAACACACAATAGTTGGAAATGGTTTTGTGATGCTCCATTTTGCACATAGCAAACCTCATTCAACATACAGACCTGCTCCCTCTTCTCTAGGTCCAAGGACCTTAAAAAACCTGGAGGTAGAAAGCAGTAGACTGGAGGCTTCTGCAGACTTTAGGATTCAAGGTGATATTTGCAGACCGGCTTTTTGAGAGACAACACTGATGTACTAGGGGCTGGACCCTAGATTGATTGCCAGGGCTTGTGTGTGAATCAACCCTAGGAGGAAAAACCTACTACCAAACCAGAGGAGCAGGCCTAACAGTACTTTGACCTTATAGAAGAAGTAAGCGGGAAAGGAAGAGAAAGAGTAGAAAGTTGATGCATCTGCTCCTCCCCAAGAACGTTGGATATTATGGGTGAGGGAACTGGGGTGGGGAAAGGGAATATAACTAAAGCCACAACAAAACAACCTAAATGGGCATCTGTATAACATAAATAATTTAAGTGGCTTTTGGATGAGACCTGGCAATGTCTCTAAAAATTTCCTCAGGGAGACAGCAATTGCAAATGTAATGTGAAAAAGTGAGGAAAGGAAAGGAACTGCTATTCGCATGTTCCTCCTATGAACCCAATTTATTTGATTCCTAAATCAATTTTTTTAGACATTGATTTTGCCCATTTTTGCAACTGAGACGCAAAAGAAATTAATTTGTCCGATGTCAAATAGTATTAGTAGAGCCTAGAATTAAACCTGGGTTGTAAAGGCCATATTCTTTAAACCACTAAACTGTAAACTATAATTCTGTATCCAACAATGTATAATATTACAGTAAAAGGACTTTTTATTGACCTTGAAAACACACAATGGATTATTATAAATACTATAATAAATCCCTTATACTTCTGTCTCTAGTATGGTTTAGGGAGTGCCAAGGCTACATATAGAAAGGGTTCATCTTGTCGGAGCATTTGGATTCTCTGCATATTTGGGTTCTTTGCAGGCCCCATGTGTTGCATTAGATTCCTCAAGCCCTAAAGGGTATCCTTGTCCACTATTTGCTGTCCATTCTGCTTGTTACCCTGACTCCCCTTCCTCAGCCATGGCAGTCTTTGGAACTAAAGCTGCCAGCCTGGCTTGTCTTTCCTAACATCTACTGCCCTCTGATAACCTGTGTGCTTGGTTTCTTCCCTCAACCCAAATGTCTATTAAGAGGCTGAATTCCTGCTTCGAGTCCAGCCCAAGGGCCAGTGTTGGCTCAGGCCCATATCACTTTCTCCAATTCTTCATTCTTAAAGTGCCAAAAAGATTAGACCTGTAATTGTTACTTAGCCAGCTTTACAGGGCCAGGACTGAGTGAGTGTCTCCTTAAGTTTTGTACTCTATATGCCTACCTTGACTTACCCTAGTCCCAGCCTTTGCAGCTTTAGCTTAATTCAGATATAGATTAGCTATTTCCCAATTTTAACTCGTAAGATAGGACCCTCTGCTACCCTCTGCCCCTTCCTTTGCTTCACCCTACTTAGCTCAGCCCTAGTCAAGACTGGATAATCTGGTACAACTTTGTTCCCCCAGGACCTAAACACAACCCTGGTATTGTGATTTTGACAATGATCTAAGTCAGCAGTTCTCAACCTATGGTTCGCAACCCACAGGAACTGTATAAAAGGGTTGCGGCATTAGGAAGGTTGAGAACCACTGATCTAAGTGAAATTTATTTGATTGGCATTTTGACTGAAGAATATGCTTTCTATGTATATTAGGGTTCAATCACAAAAGCAGAACCACTCAGATAAAGATTATGTATATATGTATTTTAATGGATTTATTATAGAGATTTGACCTCATATAATTTTGGGAGCTGGTTGAACAGTCTCTGTAAGGCTGTTTTCTTTGTATCTAATGTTGGAGCTTGAAGTCTGCAGGGCAGGCAGTCGGGAAGGGAAGATGGATGTAAAGTGTGGGAGATTGAGAACACAGCGGCGCCCACGAGCACGAGCTGGAACCCAAGAGGATGGCCTGGAACCCATGTCAGTCTCTCACCACCTCCAGCTTCGATGATGTGGGTGTCCTGTAGAAGAAGTTGGTGCCCTTCCTCACAGAGTTAAATATGCATATGGCCCAGGAATTAGAGAAGCTGAAGGAAGATCCTGGGGAAAGTAGAGCAGCTGTAGGCCTGGCTGCAGGCCTGACTGCTGCCCCACACCAAGGGGGTAAGCCAGCAGATAAATGACAACATCCCTGAACTGCAACAGCATCTGGTGCCCCTGCACCAACCTTCCACATGTAAAAAGAGTATGCTGCTGCTTCACTTCTGCCCTTCACTTATTAGGCAAAATGTCTCTTGTGGCCCATCTTAACTGGAAGCATACAGGGAAGGGAGTTCTGGGAATCCTAGCCTAGCCATGGTGACACATTGCAAAGCCACCTTGCCATGGATCAGCTCCGAAGGGTCTCACTAACCTGAGGATACTCAATAAAACTACATTGCTGAAAATGCAAAGCTGAAGACCATGGCTTCCATAGTGATTCCAGCAAGTACAGAAATTCTGTCAAGCTCACCTGGAAAAGACTTGCTATTTTAGGTCTGCCTATTTTTGTGTCATTTATTCAAGTCTTGAAAACGTGGCTCATGGTGGGCACTTAATACCAGGATGCAGAAATGAAAAAGATGGTCCATGCAATTTTATTAAATGAATCAGTATGTATTACAAATGAATAGATTTCCAACTTTATCGTGGAATTTAATGTTAAAAAATATAGAATTCAGGAAACTATTAAGAAGATAATCCTTGTGTGAACCTTGTTTGGGGCACAATAGGAATTGGAAATACTTTAGTTTCTATCTCTAAGCTGTTCTATTTTAAAATTATTTTTAAATGATCCTTATTGTTCCATTTACTGATTTATATGCTTACTGTTTCTTTTGGGAGCGTCTTGGTGGTAACAGTGTTGACTACCTCTGAGAAACTGGGATAGTGGGTGGCAAGATCAAGGTCCACTTCTGTCCAAAGACCTTGGGGGAATCACTTCTCTAGCCCTCCCAGGGCAGGTTGGCTGATGGCTGAGAGGTTCGCTGTGTAGGGTCCGGCCGCGTTCAATCTCCGGACGGGCCCGCCAGGGGGCGCCAGCCGCGGTCATCCCACCGGGGCCCGGGAGACGCTTCCCTTTCCCCCTTGGCTTAGCCGCCCTTTGGCGTGGTCTCTGTCCAGCCCGAACCCATCACCGGTACCTAGGCTAGGCCCAGGTTAAGCCGACTCCCGCTCTTCAAATAATGGTAAAACAGGCAAAACGGTACCGGAGTTAAATTTCGGAGCTTGCTCAGAGCGAGGGTGCGGCGTGACAGCTCACATGTCTGGAGTAGCCACGTCAGTTTTCGCCTTCGAGAACTCATCCCGATGGGCCCGGTTGGGCTGCGCCCACCGCGGTTGCCCGACTAGCAGCCCCGAGTCGCGGCGGCGTTTCCCCAAAGGCATTTTCATTGCGGTCCTTCCCCAGGGGGTTGTGGTGGTGGTGGAGGAGGTTCCGCCCACACCAACCCGCAGGCCCGGCGCGCCTGAGACTCAAGATGAAAGAACCGTCGCTCAAGACTGTCCAGGGAACCGAGACGACCAACTAAGCTTTCTTTTTTATTTGTTTCAGGCAATGTAAACTCTTAGCAGTAAATGAAAATGAGTGTTTTACCGAACTGCAATTTTAAGAAGAATCATAAAGACAAAATGAGAATTATTAAAAGAATATTAAGAGAGAAGACATTTTGCGGCTGAAAAGCTGAACCTGCAATTCAGGATGTGGAATTCAAACCTAGAAACGTACCATATATAAAATCCGAAATGGGTGAATTAAAAATGATTTAGGAATGCTAATTAAGAGGGTATACACAATGGTTGTATTTGGATATTATACATCAGTCTCTGACAGTAGGTACTGATTTTTTTTCTGCGTTCCGTGGTCGACCCCACTTTAGCATGGGAATACCAAAACGTTCATTTTCAAGTGGCTTTTAGGTTATTAACTACCATCTTGTTCTTGACTAGAAATACAATTTTAGTCTCCACTTGTGCTGAGGGTCTGTTCTACGGTTCCTGATCTGTGTTGCCAGTTCTGCCTGAAATGCTGACTTTTAGGAACCAATTAACCTGGACTTCTGATCCACCTCCTAACCCTGGTCCACCGTGACGGTCTTGGTGGTTCATTATTATGCTCAGCCAGGCAGTGCCACTGCCCCACCAGCCCACCGGATCTCCTCCCACCCTAGGGTATCCCGGGTCTAAGCCCTGCTTTCTGCCCATTTGCAGCAGGAAGATGTTATTAATAATTTATTATTACTGGTTGAGCAGTTTGAAAAGGCACTCAGGCTCCCTGAGCTTTACTCATCTTAGCTGTAAATTGAGAATAATACTTGTTCTTCCATCAACCCTGTATTTGTGAGGCTCAAAGGCTGTATGTGTGACAATACAGCAATTTGCGAATAGCTTGCAATTTTTAAAGAACTACACAAATACAAGGATATCCTGTGGTGATTATTACGGTCATCGCTGAGATTAACCAAGAGATAGTACAAAATTTGACGTCCCCACAAAATATCCACTAATTTACTCATTCCTGATCATAGGATGCTATAAATAGCAAAGTCAATTGGCATTACAATTAGACTTTAGACTTCTCTTTGGGACAGAGGGTTTTTCTTGCATTCTGAGGAACTCTGGAGCAAGGGCGCGAGGTCAGCGGGCTGCGGCCAGGGGCGGGGTGAGGACCGCGCAGACTCAGCTACTTGGCTGCAGGAGGAAGTTGCCAGTGCCGGCGTCTGTGGCCACCATGGTGACAGGACCGACTTCCGCCCTACCCACCCACCTCTACCTGCCGCTCACCCCGCGAGGTGCACCATGGCAACCAGACTTATGCGTCGCGGAAGCGGGTCCCGCAGGTCTCCGCGGTCAGGGAATCACGACTGACGCCACCCCCGTTCCCAGGGGACTTGAAAATGTACAGCCAGAGATTTGGCACCGTACAGCGGGAAGTTAAGGGCCCCACTCCCAACGTGGTGATCGTGGTAAGCCCAGGATGTGATTACTGAGTGGAGGCGGGGGCACCTACAGTTTTCCTTATGTACTGGTCCTTCAAGCCTGGCTGAGACCAACCTGGCCCTTAGCCAGGCCTTGCTCAAGGGAAATGATGCCTGATGGAGTAGGTTGAGTTTGAAAGAAGGGAAGAAAAAATTGCTCACCTATCTTCCCCTTATCCACCCATCTCCCTCCATCCTTTTTTAAAACTCTTACCATGCTCCCCCCAATTATAATATTTAGGATCTGTATTTGAAGAATCACCACTTGGGATCTTGGGGGGTTTTCAGTCTCTAGGACCCTCGAATGAGTTCTGTCCCCTTACAATGGGGAGTTTGTGTCATGGACTCAGAAATAGATCTGGGGGCAGGGCTGGCCATGATTCAGCTGTAGGGTTTGGGGCTGGTCCTTCCCTCCTAGGAAGATCATCTGTGAAAGGACAATAGGCAGTGAGTGGTTACAGACCACCAGTTACCACTGTGGGACAGTGTCCCTGTAGGCCTGGAAAAACAGTGTGGCTGCCTCTAAGGCTGGGACGGTAGTAGGTAGCAGATTTTTATCTTCAAAAGGGATTTTAAAGTTTTCATGTTCAAATTCAGGCTAGGGAGATGCTTCTTGCTACAGAATTTGATGGGCCCTGCTGAGACTTCCAGTCATGACTTGTCCGTGCACTTAGACTCCTTTGTTTTTACAGACTAGTTTCTTTTTTCTTTCTTTCTTTTTTTTTTTTTTTTTTTTTTTT